ATAAGAATTGTAAATACAATCCTATTCCTTCTATTCCGGAATACAAGAATTTCAAGTTCAGTTCAACTATATATATTTTTTTTTTTTAAATATATTTTCTTTTATTCCGGAATATTAGAATAGTACATTCAGCACATACTTTTTCTGGAATATAAGAATTGCAGTTTTCATATCATCCTCACATTCTGGAATATATGAAGTTCACTGATAGTATTTTTTGCAGATAAAAACTACCAAATTAAAAAAAAAAAAATTCTTATGAGAACCAAAATATTGGTTAAATTTAAAAAAAAAAAAAAAAAAAAAAAAACTTGAGGGGGATTTTTTTTTTGTGTGTTAATTTTTTTCCTGAAATAAATTGACTGATGAGGATAAAATGGAAATCATAAATAATTAAAAAAATAAAAATTATGATTTAAGTTTTTTGTTGTTTTTTTTCTTTAAAGAAAGGAAGAATTAGAGAAAAGGCAGTGTCAAAGATGTAAAAGAAAATTATAAAAATGTTATTTCTTTCATGACAGTTGAAACATGGCAGCAGGGAGAAAAGTGTAGGTAACAGTTTTAGAGGGTTTTTTTTTTTAATTTTTTTTTTAAGAGTTGGATGCAAATAAAATGATTATTGTAAAGTTTTTTTAGTGAATGAAAGAATTATGCAGGAAAAGCAAATGTAAATATGAATACTTGGAAAGATGTATAATGATGCTCATTTGAAATCTGCTGTCAAATTCATGATTTTATTTGCTTGACCCCTAATATTCATCATAACAATTGTGTGAAATAAATTTTGCAGGCATGAGAAGAAAAAGATATTTTTCAGGGCTGGTTTTACAGCTGTATATTTGCAAAAATTTAAACTAGTAAATAAACAATAAGTGTATGCTTGTGTGTGTAGTGTGTATATTTATATATGTCTAAGGCTATATAAGTAATAACTATATTGCTCATACCTAGATAAGTATACATCATTCAGTAGATGAGTCAATATTCTTGTATTATTTCAAATCAGTGTTTGTTCTCATCTTGGTTGATATAAATGTTATTATAGACACCATGTTTCAACTAAGTACCCTCTGGTCATCATCAGGTATCCATTGATTGGCTGATATGGGATATCTGTTGATTATTGTGGCATTTTGTTCCTGTGATATCTGTTATTGTTTATTCCTGCTGAATTGATCCAAGCATCAACTCATGACCACTAGATGACAGTACCACATGCATTACCAACTATATTCCCTATGCCACGTCACAAAGAATATTAGTGGCATGTTTTTTGTAACCTTTTATATTCAATGTCAGATGTTTTTTGACATTTGGTTATGATGGTCATTTTGTACAGTTTTTCATAATTTAGTATTTCATTTCATTTTATGAAAAGTGATAAAAAACATGTCTATAAAAACACCTGTATCAACAAAGCTGAGAACAATAGTTTGAAATAGTACAAGAATATAAGAAGTATACATCTAAGAGTTTTTATATATATATATATATATATTGCTTCACATTTTGGCAGCAAGGAGTTTGCTTTGATTTTGTGTTTTTTGACATTATAAAAAGAAATCAATGTCTATGTGAGTGTGTCTACTGAAGGTCTTGCAAAAGTTTAATTGACTAGGTTATATAAAAAAGTTTGCTGAGGAATCATAAGCAGTTAATTGGATTTGCTTCTAGTTAACACACAGACAATCAGTTTATATAATAATAGATATGCATAGTGCCATGTAAATAAATTTGTGGTGTATGGCCAGTTATATACACAATATGACAGATTTCTATGTTTGCTTACCATCAGTAGGTCTCTCTATGTATTGACATGGTATGTATGTATAGTAATGCAGGAAAATGTTTATGTACAATATATATATATATATATATATATATATATATATATATATATATATGGGTTTATATAGCATGGCAGACTGGGTGACTGGGATCTCTCAAGTTGGTTGGCAACCAAGGCTAAGAGAAGGAAAACTCTGAATTCAAACCTGAGGAGGGCTGTTTAGAGACTTCATGGAATATGGTGCACTATTTGACTTTTTATAAGTGTGACTTTTGGGGGTCTTTTTTTTCTTTTTACACAAGACTTCACCACTATAATCAAATCAGGTATGTAGGTAGTTTGGTTGTTCAGTTCCAAAACTAAACAGTTTCACTCATCAAAAATCAACGGGAAAATTCACTATATATATATATATATATATATATATATAGTGTGTATGTTTATATTTGTATATATAAAAGAATGTAGTTACATCTTTGTAATGACGTATTTTATGTACACAATTTGATATGTGTCCCAGTTTGAATATGAATGTACTAAAGTTATATGTGTGTATACATGTGTATGTGTTATGTACAAGGCATTTTATGTACATAGTATTTAGGAGCATCCGCACATACAATTTAATCATGTATATACACACATACACACACATATATTATGTACAAACAAACAAAAGGGTAGTTATGTAAAGATATGTATAAAAATATCTATGTACAGAAGTGAGAGTGCATTTTAAAATTATACTGTATGAGTGTAATTGATTTTGCAGGTAACAAAATTATTAATGAGAGAAAATCTTTGCATTATTTGAAATCAATTTTCTATTCTTTTGTTTGCAGTTTTTGGAAATATGAATTGGTCACCTACTTAGTACTGACCGGGCAAGATGTTGCTTAACTTTGATGATCAAAATGAGTGCCAGTGTTTCAATGTACATAAACTGTAAATGGAAAAAAAAATTTTCATTGTATGAAAATGTCAAAGCCCATATAATAAGTTGTAATTATATAGTGTGTATGTTTGTTTTAGAACTTAACATTTTACAAAAATGCCTGATGAACAGATAAGCATTTTTGTTTTATCATTATTGTTAATGGTGATATCACGCCAGAAATTCATCTTATGATTTAGTACATCACATTAAACAGAACAGGTAAAGTGGAAAATAGCCTTCACTCTATGAGGTTGCAAGTTGTGAGTGTTACACAGCTTGCAGCTTCTTATCTTTTACTCTAACCATGGAGTTATAATCATGGAAGTAAAAGATTCTTTCAAATACACAACATAGAGAAAGAAAAATCATTCTTAGCTTGAGTTTAAATGAAGACTTATCTTTTCAAAGGTGAGTATGTAGTAACAAGTTAGAGAAATCCCGTGCCAGGGATCAAAGCCTCAGATCTTTTGAGTCAATATGGCCAGTGGGATTATATTAACAAATGCTATCTATTTATGTGTTCATTCATCGCATTTGTTACGTTTCTTAAAAAATTAAACTTAAAAACAAAACACATCAGGGTTTTTCATTTTTTTTTTTAATAGTAATAAAATCTATTCACCACACAGCACGATTGGAGCTATCAGTTTTAAATACGGCCACAAGCTGCTGCTTCCAATTTTTAATGCAGATGTTAATTTTTTTTCTATCAGAATGCAACATTTCATTGCTCTAGACACAAATATCTGTACTTCTTTAAAGTCTGTCATGGAAAAGAGTCTATTTTTACTCATGTCTAAAACTGAACTTCTGCAAATGTATGATTAAAAAAAGATTATCTCCCCAACTTCACACTTGGAATGGAACCTCAGCTCCTCTTCTCCAGTGGCTTTTTGCTTCGGACTCAAACCTGACATTTTGTACTGTGTATTTCTGTACAAAGCATAACATTTACTGAACACAGAATATTTTATAAGAATAGACTGTCTGAGCTTTTGCCCTTGTTTTAAGAAACAACACTTAAAGAACATGCACCTTGCATGTATATCTATATTTTTTAATATGTGTTTTATGTATAAGGCCATATTTTTTAACAGTTGTATTTTTCTGTATCTGCTTGAGCTGTGCATAAAAGGTATGCAAAGTTTGAAAACAGTAGAAGTATATGTGCTTATATACTAGAACAAATAAGCCACAACATTGGAATTAAGATTTTATAAATTTTAACTGCTGCCTGCTCTCTGCATCTTTTCTTTGAAAATTTGGAGAAAAAAAAAGGACAAAAAACAGGATTTGTGTTGAATAAAAATTAAAACTAGAAAAAAAATCCCCTTTGTTATTAATGCCATGCTTCCATTGAGTGAAGAATTTTTTTTTCTGCAATTCTTGACTTTTGGTAGTTTCTGAAAAATAAAACTTAAAAAATAAATTTTTTTTTTTTAAATATATATGAACAAATTATTTGATAATTTGTCCACATTTGAGAAAAAGAAGAAAGAGTGATCCAGTTATTTTCTCAAGGAGGATGTTTTTAGGAACAGAAATCTTTTCCTTTCTTATCTTTGGCAAATTTCTCGGCTTGGGCCCTAAAGAACATTTGCATTTTTATTTTCTTAAAAAAAAAAAAAAAAAATTTTATATATATATATATATATATATATATATATAAAATCAGCTTTGATCCTCTTCCTTCTTTTAATCTTTTTTTTCCTCCTTCTCATTCATCCAGCTTTTGTTTCACTTTCATATTTTGTTCTCTCTTTTCTTTTTCCTTCTCAAGTCTTTCTCTTCAATTTTGCTTTTGGCAACAAAATGTGTGAATACAGCAGTGTCAGTGGTGGAGAGTAGAGAGAGTGAAACTTTGATTTGACAATGACATAAATCCACAGCAGTAGCAAAAATTGTATTAGTTGTTAAATTGGAGTACTGATTAACAACTGTAGTTGATCTGATGGTCAAACCATTCAAATAATAATAAAAAAAAAAAAAAAGAAAAAAAAGTGAAACAATCAAAAAAAACACTGCTGTATGAAACTGAAATTGATCATTATGTTGGAGATAGGTATAACTCCTATATATATATATATATATATATATATATACACACACACACACACACACACACACGAATGTTTGAAAGAGAGAATGTATATATGCATTGTTTGATTAGCTGGTGGGTTGTGAGTCCATACAGTACCCACCTTTTTCTCCCAGGTGGGCTTGTGGGCGGGCAGGCGGTTAGGCAGACATGCAGCCGTGTACATGCAACCCCTTTTATACAAAAGAATAGTGGTTCTCAATAGCACGCCCATGAGAAACTTGCTGTTGGGTACCCTGTGACTGTTCACGGACAACGTTTTCAATTGACTCAGTTCTCGACCGCACTGAGCCACTAACAACGATAACATCCCTGCCATTTTCCGTTATACCTGCACGGTGAGAATTCACCCCACTGGCACTGGCACCGCCACCTGCCCCGGCACCTGAACCGGGGCCTCCACCGCTACTGTTTCCAGCTCCTCCTACAGCTCCACCACTGCCTGGATGTCCAATATGTACTCCACCCCCTGCCCCTCCTCCTCCACCACTGCTGCCACCACCACCACCACCACCACCACCTCCTCCTCCTCCTCCTCCTCCTCCAGTTCCAACAGGTATGCCCCCTCCAATTACTCCCGCGCCTCCTCCTCCACCTCCTGCGCCTCCTCCTCCACCCGGGCCTCCAGTTGGCCCACTGCCAGGTGCTCCACCTCCGACACCAGCCACTTGGAGACCAGGTCCTGCTCCAATGTGGCCACCTGTTCCACCCAGGCCAGTCCCACTTCCACCGACAGCTCCACTACCCATGCCATTGACTCCACCCAGAGGCACGGGGTTAGCACCATTCCTCATGCCCAGGTTGGATGTAGACGATGAGCGACCAGAATTGGACATTTGGCGTGGAGAATTACGCGGAAGCGTGGAAGGTGTGCGCGGCCTCTCCATTGAGATAACATAGTCGGTGAGCGTGACATCTGAAGCTCCACCCGATTCCAAGGGGATTGGGTGGCTTCGAAAATGCTCCAACATGTCGAATACCGTCTGGAACCACAAATGCTGAACACGGCATTGGCCATCATCTTGAATCGTCATTCTTAGATGCTGAAAAATAGGAAAGAGAATTATCTGTGAGTAAAAAAGGCAAAAGATGTCAGCAGAGATGATATTTGAGCCTAGATCAAAAGTCAGGATTTCAAATAATTGATTTTCAAGACAAAAAGACTTTTCCACTGGAACAACTCATTTTCTATATTTGGCATTGTGTGCTGTGTTGGGGTTTAGTAAATATAAACTGTTTTGGGTCTGCCTTATGGTTAAAGTAGTTAACACTTGTCAGAAGTTAGTTTTTGAGTCCAGGTAAAAATGCAAAAGGATCTGAAATGCTCAAGACAAACAGGAAGGGCCTCTTTATTTAGAAGTTTGATGCAGCACAAATTTCCCTATTTATACCCCCACCATTTAACTTTGTGTCAGAGTAAATCTAAATCCTGATGCTGGCTACTTATTGATTTGTTTTTATTTTTTATCCATGGCAGGATTATGTAAACATAAGCTGTTAAATTATTTATATAAATGAATGAATCCTTAATATTTGAAAAGAGATGTGAAATTATAGCATTTCATTGAAGATGGTATACAAAAAATAAATTATTTCATGAAAAAAACTCTTAGGTTGACTATCTGCACATGTCTGAAGCTAATGCAATTAAGTCTTGTAAGAAATGATTTAGCAATCGTAAAACTCAGAAAGTAAATTTTATCAGGAGCAGCAATATCCTGATCTGACTGCAGATGGGGTATAAAGAGCTGCAAAATGCAGGACTAACTTTTAAATAAAAATTTATTTTCTATTGGGTGTTATTTATTACAACAATGAATTATTCAGAGTTTTTGTGCATGAGTGCTTATTCTGTTCTCATTTTTATTTATTATAATTTATCATGCCAGTTATTTGGATCGGTGAGTTTTTATGATTGGTCAAACCAACCACATACAATAATTAAAACACTTCATGTAATAAAACTCACACAAGAACTCTAATTCCCACAAGTTTTTGATAAAAGACTGTGTGTGTGTGTATATATATATATATATATATATATATATATAACTCCTACAACAAAAATATTCTTAAATTGCTATATTAGTAAAGACACTCCGATTTAAATTTTCAAAAATTCAACCTTAACACTGCGACTACACACTCCACAAGTTTGTATCTGTTATCATTAACACATTTAAAAAAAAAAAAAAACATATTTCGATTTGCATTATATTTTTTTGTCTTGGATGCTACCTGAATTTTAGCAAAAAGAAAATAGTTTCCATGCCTGATGATGACCGGAGGACCTGTTGAAAGTACTTGTATATTTAAGGAAGACCTAATAGTTTATAGTTTTAAAAAACAAGGATCATAACATTCATCAAATGGTTAGTGGGTTAATGTATCTTTAAAATTTAGTTAGCAATTTTATATCATTAACTTTACTAATTTACTTTTGTATAAATGGTTCAGTGTAATATAAATTAAGCTGCACCACATATATTTTTATATATATATATATATATATATATATATATATATATATAGATAGAGAGAGAGAGAGAGAGAGAGCCATGTGTTTAGAGTGGTTAGAATGTTTGCTTTCTAACCGTGAGACACAGGTTCAAATCTTACCATGATTGATTTGTTAGGAAGGTGATTTGATATTATTGCTCTGGGAAGGTCATCTCAGCATGTGGCACCTTTGGAAAGGTGTCTGAAAACCATACCACAAATTGACCCAATGAAATTGGATCGACAGAACTGTTTGGAATCTGTCACTTGTTGTGCTAACACAGAGTCAAATATCATTGTGACTGCGAGTTTGAGCATACTGGCATTGTTCAAACTTCTGATCATGCCAGATTATGGGCCTTCTCACAGAAATTGTAACTAAGGTCTGCACAGCATAGTTGCAGCATAAACCAGAGGTGGGCTCTCTGGGTGTTAAACACAAATGCACCCAAACAGCATCCATCTGCAAAACAAGAATTAGCTAAACTCCCTAGCAGATAGATGTGCATTGAAAACTAGAATAGCCAGCAATTAAGTATATATGATTGCGGCAACTCCATTTCAAGCAATATCATCACTTGATCCATCCTAAAATATATGCAGTGCAGATGAAGTTTTTTAGTCCTGCTATGGTCTTACATTCTCTTGTGCACATGTGGCAATGTTTGGGCATTTTTTGCAGTAGTTGTTTCATAAATGCCACATAATATGTAATGAATGACTTCTCTCTGTGTATGGTGCCTTCAACTATTTTTGAGGCCTGCCCTACTTAGAGACAACTGCATTTATTACATGTTAGATCAAATTTTATGCCAAAATTTTCAGGTAAATTAACAAGTTTATATATCTATGCTTATCTATATATAACATATACATGTCAGTGACAACTCTAGTATTACTTGTTATACATGAAATTTATTTTTTATTTTTCCTTTTTACATTAAAGAGAATAATGATAAAAGTATTACAAATTCTTATTCACATAAAAATTGTCATTGGTTGACTAAATAGAAAAATGAAAACAGAAAAATAGTTGTTAACATTTACAGTTGATTAGTAAATGGTGTTCAGTGTTCAGACTCTGTTAGTTTGTTCATTTCAATAGGTTGGGCTGAATTCAATGGACCCAAGTTAGTCTCATAAAATTTTGATTATTATGGAGCACAAAATTTATTTAAGTCAAAATTTTTACACTATTTACATTATTTGAACTATTGTCCTCATCTTTGTTGCCATGTTTATCACAATGTTTCGGACGTTGTACGCTCCGGCCTTCTTTAGGTGGTTGGAATGTTGAACTGAACCCTTTATTTCAATCACTGGGGTAGACTGTTCTAGTTCCACGTGCCATGTCTAATGGATGTCAGTTATCGCCTGTTAACAATAGTCATAATGATGTAAATAGTGTACATAATACCTCATCTCAAAATTTTAAGTTATGAAGTTTGATTTGTTTGTTTTAACAGCATATCCACCCTTGTGGGTCATTTAATGCTTAAAATCAGATTTTTACTCTATAATATTTTAGTAAATTTTAAGTTTTATAATTTGTGAAGTAAAGTTGAAAACTGGTTGTATAGTTCATCTAGAGGTGAAGTCGTCTGTGGGTGAAAGTTTGGTGTATAATTTAGTTTTCCTCAACTACGTCAAAATGGTTTTTACATTAACGTTTTAGAAAAGTTCTTTAAGGCTATTCACCTTATAAATAGACATTGTTATGGATAGAAGCAAATTCAACACTTACTGCATGTGTTTTATAGGGATAAAGTGTTGTTGCCGACACCGGAGTTTGAACACAGATCACCAGTGAGCAAACATGGGTGATTCCATTATTAAATAAGTAGACCACATGATCCTAAAGGAAAAGTATATATGGGAATTACCATGGCGTCTAAGTGATCGTGATTCTCTATACTATCCTCTAGACTGATCACTCTTTGGATTACTATTCGGTGGTTACTATCCGAACAAGTATTACTAGCGTGAGTATTAGTCGAAGGAGTTACTACTAGTATCTGTGATTCCAAAGTCTCGACTACAATGAGCATTACGAACATAATAATGAGCATTCGTTGACATCACAAATGTGACAATGAGTAAGCATCTGACATCACAAAAAAATGTCTCTTGGCATAATATGCATTTAAGTGGCTCCTCATCTTTTAAAAGGAATGAATGTGTGATGTTGGTATGTCCAATTCCGATTCTTGCTAAGACTTCTTCGCTTTGAGAAAGACTGGTATAAAGTGGTAACAGAGCTATAGTACCTTGAAGAAAAGTAAATTAAAACCATTAGAAAATTTTAAGATTATTCTTAATAGTTTGGGCAGAAATTTAGAATAATGAATGAAAGCTTAATGTTTCACTGGGTTGAATTGAATTTGCCTGAGCTAGCCTCATGATTGATTCATTTTCTATGGCTTACCAAACCTTTGAAGGTTATTTAAAGCCAGAAAATATTTTTAGATTATAAGAATTCAGAGATAATAGTTTAGTGATACATCCTACTAATTAACTCATAGCTGGGGAGGAGAATAGATTCATACCTTTCCCAAGGGTATTTGCGCATAAGTGAATATAAAGAACCAAACTGGAATTGGAACTTGGCTCTCTGGTTAACAATTCTGAGTCATTATTCATTACACCAGCTGTATATCCAAGCTTACTGCACTGGCTATCCTTAAGCGATCACCTATCTAGGTACTGATTAGGCTCAATGTTGCTTAAATTTGGTGATCATACGAGGATCAGTGATTCAATGCAATATGACTATAAGCTTGAGCTAGCCTCAATAACTTTTGTTCATATAACACTAGCTTAAAAGCTACCCTATTGGGTGACCGACATTTAAGCTAGCTCTTATGGAGGGCTCTTGATTGGGCTTTTGGTCCAACAATGCCACTTCATACATTGAATACATATTAAATTTTATTAAACTTGAACAATATTTTTCATCAAAACAATAATGTAATTTGTCTATTTGGAACTTATTGCAAAGCTGCATGATAAACAACATTTTTGGTTTTCCTCATTCGGGGTAGTAAAAATAGCTTGTTTCCATTCCCAACCTTTGAACAACCAGCATAGAGTTGGCTATGAGAAAAGCAGGGTTCCATCAGATAAAGTCCAGTTACTTTCAATGATTGTTCTTTGGACTTATAGATTGACATTACATCACTCACTCCCATTGGAAACTGAAGTCTCTTGAGCTCAAAAGGAAGATCTGGAGGAATTAAGGGGGATTCTTGGAATTAAACCTCTTTCCTCCTTTCCTGGACCAGTAAGGATCTCTGCTCCCAAGTGATGAGGAAGCATCTCCTTGACAATTAACCTTGTTCAAGTCAATGTTTAAAGTTATGAAGTTGAAACAAAGTTATATTTCTTGAAAATAGTGAATTAAAACCACTCAAGATATTTTTATTCTTAAGAGTTCAGAGCAAAATTTATCAAGCCTGTCACAGATTATTACAAGTCAAGAATGAACATTACTTGGTTTGAAATTGACTTGACAGTTGGATTAGTCAAGCTTTTTTTTAAGTTGATGACATTAACCCTTTTTCCTTGGGAGGCAAAAATAGCGAGATCAGTTTTTGGAATCATACTCTCAACACTGTCCACATAATGCTGATCAAGAGAGAAACATGATGACATGAGGTTATGGTTAGCTATCTTCAGAGACTGACCCTGAGCCTTGTTAATAGTTGAGCTTCACTAGAAATTGATATCAAAAGGAAGATCAGTTGCAGTTATAGAAATCCTTAAGTATCAACATATTTGTCTTCACAACACCAATTCATATTGGGCATTAGGAGAGGAGTTTTGTGTAGAATCTATTTACTGAGAAAAGAAAAAAAAAAACATATTTTTGATGTAATATGGAATATTATCAAGTTTCCAGAAAAGTTCTATTGGTCTTGACTTGGCATCTTGGTTTCAGTCACTTTCCTACTGCCGTGATGTAGCTTCTGTGCGCTTTTTCTATAACTACCTTCATGGTAATCGTTCTGATGAACTTTCTTCTATGGTACCTAGCCTTTATGAATTTAAGCACACTACTAGAATGTCAGCAAGGTCTCATCATTCTATGGTTGAAATGGAGAGCTGTAACTGTAAGTCCTATGCTAACAGTTTCTTCTCTCACACTTCTTGCTTGTGGCACTCTCCTCCTGCTTCTTGCTGCCCAGTTAACTTTGATCTTCAAAAATTTAAATGAAATGTCAATTGTTATCTTCTGTCTTCTTGATTTGTCTTCTTTTGTGGTTCTTGCTTCTTAATGTTGTTTTTTCGCTTATTTTTTCACCCCTTGTCTTGGTGGCTTGTGTGGGGTGAGATAATTAAAAAAAAGAAGAAAGAAACCCCTCACCCCCAGGAAATTCCATCATATTTCCAATGTAATAACGAGAAGAGAAGTTCTAGCCAGAAAGTTTCACATATCTAAAAACTATAATATACATACATATAACCTCAGCCCACCATTTGTGAGGTTGAGAAACATTTTTGTATTCTGCAATAAACTAGTGCCCTAAATTAACTGGTGATGATCTCTGGTAACCTCAGAGGACAGCATCACCTATACCATGTTCATCCTTAAATGAAGTTACCAACATAGACTAATATTCAGTCCCCAAAATTCAACTGCTTGGTTGCCAATTATACACATACAACCATAAAAAGAACAATCATTTGTAGGTGGCATAATGGTAATCCATGTGGAAAATGAAGTTGATAAGCTGGGTTCAAATTCCAGCCAAGGCTGTTGTCTTCACTTCACATACATGCACTTACTTCTCTCCCCAGTTATAAGTAAAACAATAGGACAAAGAGGGCTCTTTAGTCATGATTGTGCAGCCAGTCTATGAGAAAGATAACACTTAATTCAACCTGCTTGCCATTGGCTAGTTAGACATGGTAAAGCCCATTACTCTTCAGATCCATTGAAGAGATATATATGCACATGTAGAGAGAGCTGAAAAGTTATTGGCTCAAACAAGAAATCTTTTTTAAAAATCTGGTGTTTGATGATTTGATTAGCTTTTGGAAGTGACAGATTTTTATTACATTAGCCCACAATGTCAGAGACAAATGTTGCTTGTATAGATTCAAACTTTACTGCCAATGACCCATAGTCTTTAGGGTACTTTGTCAGAAAACAGAGGAAAAGTAACTTGGCATCTGGCATGAAAGTGAATATAAAACAATGACATATTGAACTTTTCCATTTGAGGAAAAACCGTGCCCAATGACATTCATCAATCATACTTATTATAAAACCCAGGTTGTGTGTGCGTGTGTGTGTGTGTCTGTTCATTTATATATTGGATCAGATTTCCTACATTTTTCAACCGATTTCAACAAAACTTCACAGGATTACATAAAATTACCTTGCGGTGGTTCTGACAGCGCCAAAAATTGGAAAAACACAATTGTTTTTGCATGAAATCAATTTGAAAACATGATTAAAAAGCATCGCTTTCGCGGAATGAAAGGGGGACAACTCATATCGAGTTATACTTATTATAAAACCCAGGTTGTGTGTGTGTGTTCATTTATATATGGGATCAGATTTCCTACATTTTTCAACCGATTTCAACAAAACTTCACTTTTTTTTGGCAGGTAATGTTTCTTATTGTCTTGCACACTTTTTCTTTATTTTACATTCAGAATGCTTTAAAATTCCATTTACAAGACAATTGTTTATAATAAAATTCTATTCAATCAGTAGACTCATAATGATTGAAAACAATGTTTTTGTTTGAATTTGGGTTTGACCAATTCGTAGGAAAAAAAAAAAAAAAAACTAATTAAGACATGCGTGTCCGTCAACCTTAAACAATAATCTTTGTCAATTTTATTTTTCAGTCTTTATGATGGTCGATACTTGATCTATCTCTTACTGTTACATCCCCCGGGCAACACCGGGCTCTACTGCTAGTGATGAATATTTATGGAGACCAAACAAAGTGAGCATAGTTAAGCAGTGATTAAGCCATGATAACACCAATGGGTGTGGCAAGGTTAATTTCAGTTGTCAACCCATAAAATGTTTATTTCTGGCAAAAAAAGCAAAGCCAATCATGGTGTCTATGTGGGGAAAAAACAACACTGAAATCTTACTTTAATTGAGACATTGTGTTTCCTGTATCTGTTGTAACTTTTGCAGAAATAAATATGAGATATACTTTTGGAGCATTACTTTCATATATGCAGGACTTTAAGGAGCCTTCTTGAAAGGAGTGCACTCCTTTTTGCTGGAGTCAAGGAGTGGAGGGCTCTTTTTTTCATAAGGAGTGGGAGCAAGAATGAATTTTATAGGAGCAAAGAAGCGATAATCCACTTTTTTTGCTGCTACTAAAATAAAATAAAAAATTATAGTTGTAAAATTTGAAGGGCTGCCATCTGAGTATGTGTGTGTGTGTGTGTATTTTAAAATTTCATAACAGCAAAAAATTCGGAATTTTCGGATGTTATTTGGTAACTGGTAATTCTGAATAAAATGAATACCCTCGTTAAGGAAATTTTTTTCATGACTATTATTTAACCTCCTTAGATCTTTCTAGAATCAGCAAATTTGTCAGAATTTGCAATTATTGATGTTTTATTATTTTAATTGGAGCTCCAAAATAGTCCTAAAATGATTTCTAACATTTTTAAGTAATACCTTTCTTTCCCTTGTTTTTATTTACAAATATCAAATTTGAATTGTCATTGGCAACTGAATTGCAAACTTTTGCTTTTTCTCCCATTTACCATTAGGAATTGTTTTTTCCTTTCCAATCTGAATAAATATGTTCTGACAAAACATTTATTTTTAAGCAAAAAGACAAAAAAAAAATATACCACTACTTTTTACAAGGACCAATTTCAATTAGAAATGGTTCAATCCCAATCAAATCTCTTCCTTAAAATCAATTTCAAATTAAATCCATTTACATTACCAGTTCAAAACCCCAACCCAACTGCCCCCTGCGGTGTTTGAAGACTAGTGTTCCCGGAAAAATAACTTTAGATTTTGGACAATATTTTCTACATCAAAAGTACTCTTTATATAAGCTTAATTTGCACAAAGTTCAAAGTTTGGAAGTCATAGTAGCAATTTTTGTTTTTGTAGGATGGCCCATGTACTTAAAAAAATCAGCCACGCCTTATTTTAAACTGTAAATTTTCTTGATCTTGATGAAACTTAAAAAATTGGAGAAGTGTCAAATCTGTCCAAAATGCATTAAGTTTATGTGGACGGTAGGGAGAAATGGTTAAAGGATTTGCTTTACCATCTTGCAATGAACATTATTTTACATACATGGCATAAAACTTGCAACAGATAAAAAAAAAAAAAAGATTACAAACAGAAAAAGTTTTTGTGAACTATTCTATGCCTCCCCCAAAAAAACAAATGAACATACAATAACTTGAAAAATCATTTCTTTTTTGCATAGATGAAAATATTGTTTATCTAAAGTAAATTTCTAAAGATTTTCTACCCCCAATTATTCTACTCACTTTTCAGCAGCACACATTAAGAAATAAATTTGAAGGCAGAAGAGGTTAAATGGGGAACAATAAATAGTGTGGATTAGGTGAAAATATTGTTGAGAATTTTTTTGTATTGATGTAGTGGGAAAAGGAGCACATTTCTTTTTTTCAGGAGTGGGAGCTGGAGTGGCTCCTTTTTTATGAAAGGTGCAAGGAAGGGAGCATACTCCATTTTGGAGTGCAGGACCAGGAGCTGCTCCAGAATTTGAGGAGCACATAAAGCTCTGCATATATATATATATATATATATATATATATATATATATATATTATTTATTTTGTTAAAGAATACTGATGTTACCAAAAACACTTTTGAATAATTTTTATGTAAGAAAAAATAAACAACCAAAATTTAAATCTGCATTCTGATTGGTTGACCTAAAACTATTTTCTGATTGGCTTGCTTGTTTGCTTTCTTTAGTTTAATTTGAACTGGTTTTTAACAATCTATTAATACTTTGAAAGAAAAAGAAAATGATATTCTAAAATCATGAAACCCGAAGAAGAAGAAAAAAAAAAGAAAAAAGAAAAAAAGTGACCCCCCCCCTAAAAAAAAAAAAAAGAAGAAGAAGAAGAAGAAAACAACAAAAAACAAAACAACAACTAAAAAGGGAAGCTGTACTGACCTTGGCTCTGCCTTGAAAGTTGAAAGTAAGAACATATTCACCCTTTCGGGTCTCGCTCTGTCGCACTAGGAAGACTCCATGTCCCAGAGGTCCCTGCTGCAGCACTAACTGTGCAGCATCTCGTCGCAGCAACAGACCATGGAACCAGGGGTAATCCTGCAGAACTTGGTCGATGTGACGCTCCCCTTCCGCCTCAGCACCACGACCACAGCCATCTAGGTCAAAAGAAGAATATAAATATGGTTCAGATTTTTTACAGCCTAAGAAATTTAATCCATCCAGAATATATTTATATTTATTTTTTTACATAGCAATATTTGAACAGATTTTTAGTTTTTTCTTCTTATACATGTCATTATATCTTCAACACACTTTATCAAGAAACAAAATATAAAATAAAGAATAAAACCAGAACTATATAAAAAAAATTAAATAAAACAGAGAAAAATACAGAACAATTATTAAATAAATACAAAAAAATCAGTGCATTACTCAATCAAAAAGCATTTCATTGTTGCGTAACAATGTAAATTTTATAATCCAAAATGACTTCAACTTAAAAAAAGAAAAAAGTTGCCTTCGCCAGAAAAAAAAAGCTTAAGATTTTGAATCTTTTTCTCAAAATTTACATTGAGACATGCAAATAATTAAAACTAAAACTCATTTGAGAATTTTCCGAAATTTAAATCAATTCTAATTTTGCTTGAATCATAATATTCAATAATTGATCTGTCAAACAATGACAACATAGAAGATAGTTACAATTTTAGACCAAATCCAGCCAAATCAAAAATTGATAAATTTGAATTCTTGAATTTAAAATGTTATGAGACTCAAGGAAATTTCATAAATTTCCCTATATGATGATGATGATGATGATGTTAAACCTATTGATATAGGCAAAATTAAGTCATTTTAGCATATATCATGATGAGCAGAATTATATAGATATATCATTGCACTCTTTCTGAAAAAAATTTGATTGCTTTTGTCCATTTGGTTTATAATATTTTTTTAATCATTTTCAAAATATTAAAACAAAGAAAAATCAAACAATACTTAATAAGTTGAGGGGGAACTAACTAATAAAGGGGAGATTAGCAAATAAGTTGAGAGGGGACTAACGATAATTTAAGAGGGGGTCCCCTAACAAATAGGGGTGCTAAGAAATAAGTTGAGAAGGACTAATAATTTGATTAAGCTAAATATATTTTAGAATTACTGTTGATTTCAGCAATCACACAATAACATTAAATAAATAAAACAAATAAATACCAACCAACAGAAGTTTCAAATCTTTGGTGTGTGCTCGCATGGTCAGAGGAAGAAACGTGGGAAGATGAAGAACTGATGTGACCTATGACACTGACTGGACGCTGCTGTACCCCTCCGGTCACTCCACGGGAGGACGCATGAGCAAGGCGGTGACCAACTATGGCTCCATGGACCGAGCTGCGATGGTGGACGTCTGTAAACATCCAGCAGCAGATGAAAGAGATCAAACATTGAGCTAAGGAGATGCAAAAGTTTGCACAGTTGGTCAGCCATGCAGAGCCAGCAGCTAAATACATCCAACAGTTTTATCAATAAGTTAGTATTTGGGCTGCATTCAAGGGAGGTAAGTCTGTCCAGTATGGAGTAAGGCAGAAGGCAAAAAAAAAAAAAAATTAAATAAAAGCAGAAACAACAAAACCCTTTCAAGGAGGAGACAATTGATAGAGAAGAAAAAAATCAACTAGAATATTTTCTTTTCATTTTTAAGATTTAAGGTTATTTTCATAAATTGAAAGAAAAAAAAGAAAGAGTATGTGGCTGTAAATATCTTCAAACATTTCACATTTGTTTAAAATAAAGATGTATTTGATAAAGCATAAGCATGTTTGTTTACAATCTGTGCGCACATGTGCATGTGTGTCTATACCTTCCTTTTCAATATTTGATTGATAAGAAAGTACAAAAATATCTTCACTATTTACATTATTCAGACTATTGTCCTCATCCTTGTCACCATATTTATTACAACATTTCAGCCATTGTATGCTCCAACCTTCTTCAGGTGGTTGGAATGTCAAACTGAACCCTTTATTTCACTCACTGGGGTAGACTGTTCTAGTTCCACGTGCCATGTTCAATGGATGTCAGTTATGAGTTATCTCGTGTTAATTCCCCTCTCCAAGTTTTCCACTGCCTTAAGAACACATGGCACAGTGGATAAAGACGTTGGTTAGATCCAGTGACAGGACCCAAAGAGTGTGAGTTCAATACTTGGTTAAGGCAATTTTATTTTCATCTGTATTAAATATTGATTTTAAATTAATCTTTGAATATTCTAACATCTTGCTGAAAGAGGAGAGCAAAATATTGTGTATCAGTGCAAAGAAAGTTTCATTGAAAATTAAAAACATAAAAAGATTAAAGCAAAGAGTTGCTCAGATTTGAAATCCAAGGGAGGTAAGCAAGCAAACTGTGACCTTTAGAATTAGAAAGAAAAAATTAGAAAAGAAAAATCATTAATCAATTGGCTGGCAAAAACCACAGTCAGAAATTGTGGACAGTTATTCCTGTTTGTGGGTTAATCAGTTTGGATAACATGCATGATATAACTAAATCTCATAAAAAAAAAAAAATAAAATAAAATAAACAAATAAAAAAAAAAAAGAAGAATATTTACATTCCTTCATTATGTTTCCCCATTAGTGAAAGGAATCATCCATTCTGTGGTCATTTTGTTTGTTAATGTGCAATGGAAGTTGTTTTGCAAACAGAAAGGGTAAGGGATTTCTCAAAGGAGAAGAGTAAGGTTCAATTCAAATAGGAAATATGAATAAATTTCAAGGTTGTACAGTAAATTTTAATTAAAACAAATATTAAAGTTTTAAAAAGCTTTATTAATATGCACACAGTAATATAAACAATTTTTACCATGTTTCTTCAAGCAAAACATAAAAACATAATTGAACAAAGAATCTTTTAATGGTTTAAAAACAACAATGAAAGACAACAATTGACACATTATTGGCATTTCTCTAAGTCATTGCTTACACAACAACTTCAAGTGTCCTTTTTGGACAGGCTTGTTATTGGTGATGAGAAATGGATTCTTTAACACCATCATTGGACTAGTTGAGGAAAAAACCTGCTTAGCAACCAAGAGGAGAATTTCATCCAAAGAAGATCATGTTCAGTGTACAGTGGGATAATCAAGGAATCATTTGATTATGATTATGAACACTGTTAGACAATAATCAAATAATCAACACTAATCTCTATGGCCAACTTTGTCATTTGAAAGTAGCTTTGGACAGAAAAAGTTCATCCTTAGTCAATCGAAAGGGAGTAAATCTATATCATGATAATGCACACCTCACACTGCATGACTGACTAAATGTGTCTTAGAGGAGCTCAGTTGTAAAAAAATTGCTTCATCTTCCATATTCTCCTAACTTTGTTCCTTCTGATTATCATTTGTTTAGGAGTTTGCAGAATCATTTGGATGGTCTAAGACTGACATCAAGAAAAGAGGTTGAACATGGGTTGGTCTCATATTTTACATCAAAACCTAAAGAATCTTACAAACATGGCATCTATAAACTTGTTGAGTGTAGTTCTAGGAAGCAATGGGGGTTATATTGATTAAATATTTCTATAAGCATTAGTGTCTTCATTGGTAATATACAAAATAAAATCAGACAGAAGTTTCATCCCAACCTTTCAAACATATATAACAGTAGAAATACCACTTTATTCATATTGTCAAAAAAAGACAATATTTAAGTAATTATGTATTGATTAGTTGTATTTTGTGAAGGCATCATCTCACATGGAAGAAAATCCTGCTTTTTAAAAATACTTAAGTAAAAATAGCCAAAGAAAACTAATGTGAAACAAAATAAATAAAAAGTAATGTATTGGTATATTATATTAACTAATGACATATTCCATTTTTATGGTAACATGTATGCATATTAGTATCTAGCAATCACCAGCCATGTTACATGACAAAGGTAAATCTCATTAATAATTCAGGGAGATCCGGTTGTGTGTGTGTATATATATATATATATATATATATATATATATTCCACATTGTGTTTACTATTATAGAATAGACTACAGTAATTTGACAAATGCTTTTAATGACAAGTTCTGCAGAATCTATTTTGTTTGTTTACATTCCAAAGCTTCAGAACATTTAATCAACTAAACAATTCATTGTTGGCTTTATATTTGCTCAAAGTCATAATCAGTCTATGGAAAATAAATACAAATTATCCCTCCAGTATTTGGGGGGACAGTCATAATTTTCAGGTCGACAAGTAACATTTTTGCATTGGCTTCACATAACTTTGTACTGAATAAAGGCAGAGGTATTCAGCTCCAAATTATATATTTCTATTGAGAGATATAAATAATGACATACAATGTTGGTATTTATAATTACAGAAAATATTTTGAAGGAAAAAAAACAAAACAATAGGTATTAGCTTAGTAGTCATAGATTATCTGACTAAATGATATCTTAATGGGGGACTGGAGATAATTAAGTACAAAAGCAAGAAATATTAACACAAAAATATTCTTTAAAAATATAGTAATCACAGAAATTATCAAAAGAATCTGAGTAAATTTTGGGAAGTGGGTCAGAATTTTTAAGCCTCCCTCCACTCACACCCCCCACCAAAAAAACCACTGAAGCTTCACTTGTGAGGGGAGAGAATTATATAGATGTTTATATCTTCCTCTATTTCTTACAAATAATGGCTGTTTTGAGAAAGATTTGAAAATACTGGTTTTGTCCATTAGAGCAACAATTAATTGAATCAGCTTTATTTTCCTCAGTTATGAGCCACGTTCTTATTTTGTAATATCCTATTGAATTTGCCTCTTTTCAACACTAGTCATGCAAACTAAATGAGTTTTGCATATATTTATCTGTTTTTTTTTTTTCGTGGAGTTATACGAAAACAGAAAATTCATGTCTCGCACCTCTTGCCTGTGGAACTCCCTCTCCTCTTCCTGTTTCCCTGATAGCTATAATCTCCAACTATTCAAATGTAATGTCAATCAACGTCTCCAGATGCCCTGATCTATCCCCTATCCTTCTCTTCATCCTTTCCTCAATCACTTCTATTTGCTCTCAATCCATCTCTCTGTAACCCCTTGCGTGCTAGTGGCTTCCTGCCTTGCTTGGAGTGAAACCCTTAAAAAAAAAAAAAAAAAAAAAAAAGAGAGAGAGAGATTCTACAAGGTTAGAATAATCACTGAAATGACAGAATCAGAGATACCTGTTCAAACACCTGTCAATAATCCTTCCTTTTCAACTTTACCACGACTGATGCTAGTGAATTGGGATTGAACTCAGTACCTGTATCCATTTTCAATTAATGAAACTCACTGATACTTTAAAACTAGTTGGGTTTTTGTTGGGTAATCAATTAAAAATATTGCTAAAAAAAATGCTGATTTGGTGGTGTTTGCAAAGGAGGGAAAAAAGTGGTTTTATTATGCAATGGCCTATATAAATTTATATTTTGATTTGTTATAAACAATGACAAGAATTTTAATTATCGACATATGAAAATATTGCGGATAAGTTATTTGATTTTAATGCGTTTTCTGTGCCTAATTACATAAAATACATAAAAAAATAGATCATTTGTCAATAAAACACTATCTGAGAATAATTTAAGTACAGATTTTTATTGATAAAAGATTGCTGAAGTAACAGACAATAATGGCTGTTTTGAGAAAGATTTGAAAATACTGGTTTTATCCATTAAAGCAACAATTAATCGAATCAGCTTTATTTCTACTCAATTATGAGCCACATTAATCTGTGCTCATTCTTATTTTGTAATCTCAAATCTTCTTTGGTAATTTGTTTTGCAATATTCTTATACACAATTTAAAAGCTCTGAATAATATAGGATTCTTCAGTTTGTGAAAGGGAGCTGGAAAATTGATTGCATAGAGAGATATTGAGCTTGTCAACAAGTTTTATCATAATTATAAGCTTAGTCCTTTCTTTTGTATACAAAAGAAAGGACTAAGCTTATAATTATGATAAGAGTGGCAATTACTTTAATGCTGTTGATAATGGTTATAATTTCTAATAATGATGAGTGCTGTAAAAGCACTATACACCCAAAAAGTAGATGAATATTAAGCTGGATTTTGGAAGAGATCAAGAACAAAAACCTTTAAAAGAAGAATATGAGTAATAGGCATATGATCACATACTACTGTACTTAATGTCAATGATCAAGTTCACAAATTTCCTACCAATTACTTGAGATTAATCATTCAGATTATCAAAACTTTTCAAGTCAAGAACTACAGAAAACATTACAACAAACCTACGTGACTTATCTCAAATTGGATAACAATAAACATTGTTTGGCTTCGTGCTATACAAAGTTAAGCTTAATAAATATCAATAGATGATGATGATGTTAATAATTGTTAAGGGTTCTAGAAT